GGCGGGAGGGCCGCGGCGGCGTCGGCGCTGCTGCCGTCGCCGCCGTCGTCAGGGGCGAGGGGGCTGGGAGGCACTCTCGGGAGGGCGGCGGGGACGGCGGAGGAGGAGGCGGAGGCGGAGGAGGCGGCGGTATTTGGCGGGGCGGCGGGTGTTGCGGCGGCGGAGGCGGCGGAGGGAAGGGCGGAGGTGGCGAGACGGGTCGAGCCGCGACAGGTGGCCGAGCCGCGGGAGGGGGTGTCAGGCCCCCCGCCAGCCTCCCCCTCCAGAGGCGAGGTCTCCTGGAGCGGGTCGCGCAGGCTGCGCGGCGCTGCAGCGCCGTCCGCAACAGACGCCTCGCCACCTCTGCCGCCATCGCCGCCACCTCTGCCGCCATCGCCGCCACCAGCGCCGCCCCCCCTGCCGTCACCGTCTCCTCCTCCGCCTCCCTCGCCCCAATCCGCACCGCCTCGCTCTCCGCCGCCCTCCGCCCCTGCCGCCGCCCCTGCGGCCGCCGCGCCGCCGCCCTCTGCGCCGTCCTCCTCGCCGCCACCGGCCGCCGCCGCGCCGTCGCGCGCAGAGCCGGCCGCGGCTGCGAGGTCGCCAAGCTTGTGCAGCTCGGCAAGCTTGTTCTGCACCTGAGAGACGGACCAGGCGAGCCCGATCTGACCACGGTCTCGCTCCTCAGCGCACTGTCTCAGGAGCGTCTCTAGGAGCAGTCTCTCTCCTCGCCGGTACTCCTCGCCGGTCTATGGCCGAGGAGCGGTTGCAGTCACGTGTCGGAGGAGCTCGGCGAATCTCGGCTATATATCTCGGCTGTATCTCGGTCGCGTGTCTCGGCGCATCTCGGCGCATCTCGGCGCATCTCGGCGCATCTCGGCGCATCTCGCACGTGTCGGAGGAGCTCGGCGCGTCGATGCCTCGCCTCGCCGCCCCTCTCCTCCTTTGGCGGAGGCGTCTGCAAGGCGGTGAGCGCCTTTCCAAAGTAGACCTCCGCCGCCGGCGGGTTGGACATGCGCTCGTGCACCGCCGCGATGTTGTTGCAGCAGAGGATGTACCCCGACGACGCCGGCAGCAGGTACCTACCCCGGGCATGCGGCGTCATTGCGGCAAGTCTTGGCGTGCGGCGTCCACCGCAACCACTCTGCAGGACGACGGCGTCGCTGAGGAGGGGTGTATGCGGCGGGCTCCGGCGAGGGACAGGCCCTGGAGGCGCAGAGAGGGGGCGAGGCCCCTCCGCGTACGCGCGGGGGGCGGCGCCAGCCGCTGTGTGCGGCGGCGGCAGAAGGCGAGTCGGTGCGCGCGACTGGTGCATCTACGGCAGAGGCACTTCTCGTTGATGGCGAGGGCCTGCTCGAAGCAGACGAGGGCCTCCTCGTACCGTGCGCCGTCGAAGTGGCCGATGCCCTCGTAAAACAGCGACGAAGCCACCTGCAGCGGGCGGGCTGGCGAGACTTGGGCCCGTGAGACGCAAGGTGCAGGCTGCGCGCGGCGGAGAGTGTGCAGCGCCTGCAGCGCCGCCGCCTGCGCCGCCTTGGCGCCGACGTGCGCTGAGAAGCCTTGGCCCGCTTTCTTTGGAGACGATGCCGCTGGCGCGGCCGCCTGGCGCATCTTGCCTGTGGGCGGGCCTACTGCCGGCGCCCCTGGCAAAAGAATTCTGTGACGAAAAGATCATCAAGTGCGAGCCGATAGACGCGGAGATGCACGCGATACTCGCATACTTACGCAAAATGGCGAGCGCGAGCGATGCGCAATCGCGGCGGTGCTTAGTACTGGGTGAATGCAAACCCGCGCTGCAGCAGATTGAGACTCTCGAGGTTCTCGAGGTGGATATCCTTTGGCCGCGTTGGGTAGCGAGGATTGGTGTGACGCGATCCACGCAGGCGTGTTTTCTGGCGGCCGACCGTCAGTGCACGGAGTTGCCCCTTCTCCGACTGCCCCGGCTAGTTCCCGAGTTTCGCGGGAGTGACCCCATGCGTCAAACCCGAGACCTAGCGCGGGTGGGTTGGAGGGAGCTCGCCCCGTTCCTCCCCATCGGGCCGCGTGAGCGGCCACGCCTCGCAGATTCGTTTTCGCGCCTGGGTCAGGCGCGTGGGGCATCCCCCGGGTCGCACGACCAGCGATCCGAAGAGTGGCCGCTATGCGAGGGAAAGAGCGGGGCCCTCGACGCCTCAGTCCGGCCCTCCGAGGGGGGAAGGGAAGTGCGGGGTCCCCACGGGCGCCTCAGTTCGGCCCTCCCGAGGGGGGGAGGGGAGCAAGGGGGTGGGGGGATCGGGGCGGTGGGGAGGGGTCTCGGGTTTCTTGTGGCTAATACTTGCCTTTCGGGGAGGGGCCTCCGGCCGTGCTAGCGCAGTGGCGCCCGCTCGACATCTTCCCCTCCTCCCTTCATATAGGCAGCGAGTAGGCAGCGAGAGGAGGTCTCGAGCGCCTATATGAAGGTATGTGAGATGGTGATGGGAATGGGTGGTCGGGCGGGCGGGCGGGCGGGCGGGCGGGCGGGCGGGCGGGCAAGGAAGCGGGGAGCGGCGGGCGGGCGGGGCGGAGCGGGCGGGCAGGGTTATCGGGGGAATCGTGTCCACAATCAGCGGCAGCGGAGCAGCAGCCGCAGCAGCTGCTGCTGCAGCAGCAAGCAGCAGCCAGATTGCTGCCGTTGTCTGCGCCGCGATCCGCAGATTGAGACAACCCGTGCCTAGACGAGTACAGCTAAAGAGTACCCGGGGCTCCCCATGCGGAGAGGGCCCGTGAACATCTTTAGCTTGTGAGCCAGGAAAAGGGTTGAGATTGAGAATGCGCACCGCAAAGGGATGCCAGAAGGCCTGAGGGACTGGAGGCGATTGCATACTATAGATCGAAGCTAGAGGCGGTGGTCTTCATGTGGGTGCCAGCACACGTGGGAATAGCCTGCAACGCATACGCCGACGCGGTGGCGACAGCATACCTCGGAAATAACGACACGGAGGACGCCTCGAAAGTGAAAATGACGCACTCAAAACCTGACTTTTTGAGCGCCGATCCTCCAATATATTTCCAATACTTAGAGAGCCATTGACCAATCCCCCAATACCATACTTACAGAGTTTGAAAACAATCTTTCTGAGCACTTCCTTAAGCTCGACACCCTCGACACCGGCCTCGACACCTCGACACCAGGGCTCAGGTAGTAGCATGGTAACGGGGCTAGTTACAAGCCCTTGAGCTCGTAGGTCGACCTTGTAGGACCTTACGAGCTCCGAAGCTGGTAAACTAGCCTTGTTACTAGCCTGGATACGAGAGTGGATACGACCCGGCGCAGCAAAATGGGGTTTTGAGAAACGCGGATAGCCTCTCAAACCCATTCAAAGCAAACACACACGAACACGAATCAAACTCGGCGCATCTCGGCTCATCTCGGCTCATCTCGGCTCATATCGGCTCATCTCGGGCCATCTCGGCTCATCTCGGGCCGCGGCGGTAGCGATGGCGGCGATGGCGAGGGCGTCGCCGCGTTCGCCGTCCTGGCCGAGAGTCGACCACCTCTCCGCGCCGCCGTCTCGAGGCGGCGAGGGAGAAGCCTGGAGGGAGAGGCGGAGGCGGCAGCCGAGAGCCGACCACTACTCCTCGCCGCCGTCGAGCAGCGAGGGAGAAGCCTAGAGAGAGGCGGAGGCGTGGCAGCTGAGGGCCGACCACCAGTCCGCGCCGCCGTCGAGGCGGCGAGGGAGAAGCGTAGAGGGAGAGGCGGAGGCAGCACCCGAGAGCCGACATCGGAACCACCATGCCGCAAGGGTGTCCATGATTTCGGCGGTTAACGAGCTCGTAGGCGTCCTACGAGCCCGACATCGCGCAGCATCGCTCGCCTTCCTCGGCCGAGCCGCCCTGGCGCTGGCGACTGCAAGCCGTCCTCCTTCCCACCAATCGCAAGCGTGGTCTTCATCCACTTGGCCTCGTCCGACACCTGATCGCCCAGGGCCGCCCGCACCGCCGCCTCGAGCGCCTCCTCCGTCGGCTCGCCCTCCAGCCGGATCACGTCGGCCATCCTCGCGCGAGAAGAGAAGAGCAAGACGCGGCACCATCCGCGTCCGCACGTTGAACTCGCTCGCGAAGGCCTTGCAGTCCTGGATGTCGGCACGGCCCCACCGCATGAGGTGGCCGAGCCCAGCGGCGAGGCCGTGCGCCGCCTGCAGCATCGCCTTTGACTTTGCATCGTCGTCTCGTGTTTTAGAGGTGAAGAGGACAGCCCACACGACAGCGTCCTGCACAACCTCGGCCTCGAACTGAGCGTCGTCCTTGAGTGTGGTGAGGCTGCCGGCGGCGGAGTGGAGCAGGAGCAGGAGCAAGGCAGCAGCGTGCTGCATTATTGGCTGGCTCTGGGGCGTGCCTGTCGCCGGGCGCTGTGTGAGCCTCCGGCAGCGCCCGGGGCTTCGCCCAACACCACTCGCAACCTGGTTTGTGGACCTCCCGCACCTTACCCTTACAGGCCACCATAAGGGACCCCGTTGTCCGTTTGACATCAGACTTTTTTTGAGTTGGAGGTAATAATTTATAATTAAAAGGATTGCACTGTCCCAAAGAACTGATTCATTCATTTCACCCTCACATAGTAACAATACCTCAAAGGTGAAAACCTCCAAAATAGGCCGTCAGGACTCTGTCAGGACTCCGTCAGGACTCTGTCAGGACTCCGTCAGGACTCTGTCAGGACTCCGCCAGGACTCCGCCAGGACAACCACTGCCCCCCCGCTGTGAACAGAGCCCTTAGCTAGAGAGTAGGGAGGGGTGTACAGTCGAGTTACTCCCGAGGGCAGGGACGGCCCTCCACTGAGGGAAAGGGCGCAACGGGGACGGTATGCTCACAACCCAGCCACGCAGCTCTTTGCTCGCGTACAGCCAACGAGTTTGCTGGTCCACAGGCAGGCCAGGCCGTGAGCGTGGGCCGGTCGGGCCTGATCCTGCGGTGAGCACTGGAGGGCTATGCGGCTCGCTCCGTCAGCCGACTTGCGCTGTCGAGCGGTCGAGCGCTTCGGGTTGGACCCGCGGGAGGGTCCCTGCGCGGCTGACATGGCCAGCCAAGCCGTGTGCGCTGCCGTGGGCGCTGTCGTGGGTGCTGCCGTGGGTGCTGCCGTGGGCGCTGCTGTGGGCGCTGCCGTGGGCGCTGCCTCGGTCAGCAGTCGGTCAGCAGTCGGTCAGCAGTCGGTCCGCTGCTCGGCGCTGGCCTGCAGGCCGCCGGTGGCAAATCGGGGGGGCGCGGGCCATGGACGTCGTGGCCGAGCTTTGCTGCCTTCTTGCACGTTGCCGGCTGTAACGTTGCCTGCACCATGGCCGCGCCTCTCTTGCTTGTGCGCTTTCATGGTCGAGCCGAGTGGCGCGAGAGTGAGCGTGATTTCTTTTGTCTGTCGGACTCTAAGTTTCTGTCAGGACTCTCAAGTTTCTGTCAGGACTCTCAAGTTTGCTTGTCAGGACTCTCAAGTTTGCGTCAGGACTGCCCCATCAGGACGATTCCGCAGAGGGCGCGCACGGTCGAAAGGGGGGCTGGGCGTCTATCATTCACTGCTGGGGGGGAGGGGAAGGAGGGTTGCAGTGAAGGAAGGTGGAGGTCTCGTCGGAGGCACTTGTGAGCACTGTGAAGACCGTGCGCCGTCAGGACCCCGCCAGGACTTTGTCAGGACTCTGTCAGGACTCTGTCAGGACTCTGTCAGGACTCTGTCAGGACTCTGTCAGGACTGTCAGGACAGGTGCGGGAGGTCCACAAACCAGGTTTCGCAACAGCTCTCGCGCGCCGCCGTCAGTGGCGATGCGCAAAACATCAACAACGCTGCTCGCAACATGCGTGTCGCGCACTCATTCATGACCGGTCTCAATGCCCCACCCCCCTGCGCGCGGGCCTTCTAAGCCCGCGGGTAGTCCCCCCCCATCCCCAGGGCCTCCAGGGCTCGCACCTCAACCTCTCACAGGCCAGCGCACAGCGCCATAGGAGGTATTTTCTTCTCAATAACAAGGCTGTGAGCTGTGGGTGTAGAGAGGCGGCTGAGAAAAGAAAAGATAGAGCGATAAATGAATAAAACGGACCCCTCTCTACTGTGAGGTGGGTAAAAAGGAACAGGTCCCCGCCCTTGGCCTTGCGAGATCTTTGTGCAGGGTGCTTTGTGGGTGTGGTCGGCGACTAGCCGGGGTCGTCCTCCCGGTGGGGGACTAGCTAGCACTAGCCGTCTTCCACATGGTCCCTCGGGTCCCTGCTGCTCCTAATCTCTTCGTACATCCTCCTGCTGATCTCCGCAAAGTCCTGCTCCCTCCCTCGTCTCGCCCTGCGCGTCTGCAGAAAAAGTGTACATCAATCTATCTCACGGGGAAAAGAATGTACCTGCCTGTGCCTCTCACACAATGTACCTCCCTCTCACGGGAAAAAGAATTATTCAGGCGCGCCAGTCACGCGCGCCAGTCCCGTGCCCAGTGTCGAGAGAACTTGCTAAAAACCGTCTCTCCGCCCAAGGGTGGGCGACGGCAAGCACCACATGCCTCTGGTCTCCCTTAATTTCCCTGTGTGGCGGCGGCAAATGGGAAGGCGCCTTAATTTCCCTGCGTGCCGACCTTCCCAGAGGCTTCACCAGATGCTAGGGCTGCGCCCACCTCCCTCGCCTGGAAGCGACGTGCGCCTCCTCAAAAGACCTCAGCACACATTTCAGACGAGACGGGCGGAACGAGAAATCCCCCTTCGAACGTCAACGGGAACTCGTCCTTGGCGCAGCCGCAGCCGGTGTCCACGCCGACTTTGCAGTCCGGGTACCCACCTGGCCCTCCGGCGCCCGGCTGGCAGGAAATGCTTGGCCTCGTCCCGTTTTTGCAAACTTGCTCGGAATAAAAGACTGGGCCCACGAGACGGGCCGCAGCCGAAAAGTCGGAGCCGCACCCGCAATTGGGATCCCAAGACGGGGTGCACACGAAGATGTTCTTGCCCGGAAGGTAGTACGGGCTAGGCACCGAGGGGTACTCGCAATTGTACTTCGCCGGCATCTCAGGCCAGCACGGCAGGGAGATGTTGATGCGATCCCCACTCACCAGTCCCCCGGGAGGGCACGGCGGGATCTGCTCGACCGGCGCGCAGTGGGCGAGTTGCGGCGTCAGGAGGAAGGAGCTTGCCTTCGCAGTCATGATGGCGCCCTCATAACCGGAGGCAGTCTCCTGCACCGCCTCCGTCGGCAGGAACTCGTTGATTGCGCAGCCGCAGCCGATGTCGACGCCGATCTTGCAGTCAGGATACGCTCCCTGCCCGGCACCGGGTTGGCAGGAGAGGCTGGCGCTCGTGCCCGCATTGCAGAGAGCGCCCACGACGGCAGGAGGACCGCACACCGGCGAGTGGGGCGACGAATCTGCGGCGCAGCCGCAGTTCAGGTCCCACATCTTGGTGCAGTCGCCGTCCACGAGGTGCGGATTGGCAACACAGCCGTCGAGGCAGTTGTGGGTTGGCCCGCTTGCGAATTGGATCGCCCGCTGCGTTGGAGCGGCACAGGGGAAGAGGAGCGGCAACATGATCTCGGAGCCCCCAAAGACGGCGTTTTGTTGGTGTGTGAATATTTTCTTCTCCAAACAAGGCTGTGAATGACGCATGATTGCTAGAGGTGAATGACGCAAGATTGCTAGAGGCGGAGCAGTCTGCTCTAGCCTCACACGTTAGCCCCTGTCGCCTGTCTGTGTTTGTTTGCTTGTTGTTTGTCCCTTGGCACCGCGGGGAGAGAGAGAGATGCTGGGGGGGGGTGGCAGGGGGAACGTGGCCTTGAGTGATGTGTACGTCCACTCAGGGTGTGTGGCAGCCAACCTGGCTGTGTGTCCTGTGAGCTTGTTTGTGTCTGTGTGTCGCTCGAGCGTGTCGTCATCATCTGTCTCGCGTCCATCCATACCGCGTTGGTGTCCAGTCCGAGCCGTGTGTATCGCGCGCCTTGCGGGGGGGGCGCGGAAAAGAGGAACCTCTTAGCGCCATCGCCACGGTGCTGCATGCAGCGCCGGGCGACGACGGCTTACCGCCTCCCGGTCCCCCTCGGCACACCTCCGCTGCTCAATGTTTGACGGCTCGAACCCGTGAAGCTTCCCCGTGCGCGGGTTACCCCGCACACGGGTCAGCCTGCCAGCCACGTATCCACGCAAGCGTGGTCCGCGTGCATGGCATACAGGCGTCCGCCAGACAGCGCAGAGGAGGCGACCGGGGAAGGACTAGCTCAAGGGCAACACAGCGTCACCAGCCGTTGGCGCGCAGAACGAGTCTGCGGCCCTCGGTTGGGACGAGTGCGCGACGCGGTTGAACCGCTCAATATGGCCGGCAGCTCGCGCTGCCGGCGGGGTTGGTTGGGGAGAACCGGCACGGGGAGGGCCGGCCTCCCCGGAGGGGTCGCCCCCTGGAGGGGCCCCAAAGGGCCCCCCGGGGGGGCGGGGGCCCCCGCCCCGAGGGGCGGGGGCGGGTCCTTCCGTGTCGCTCCCCTCGTCGGGAGTGTCCGTCGGGATGGTGTTGTCCGCCCACTCGGCAGCGTTTGAGCCTCTGTCACCTTGCCTGCCGCGAGCAGCTAGCTCGTCGACGTAGTCGTTCCATTTGTTGCCGCTGTGACCCGCCACATGCCTCCACGTCACGGTGTGTTTGGCGCGAAGGCGTCGCCAGAGGGAACGAAGGCGCTCCGCTAGCTGTCTGTTCGTTTTGGGGGTCACCCTCCCCATCATGCACGCCGCCGCGTACTCGCTGTCGGTCCGCACTACTCCGCGTGAGCCCGCTCGTTGCGGTGACGAGGACAGGAGAGCCCGGAGGAGCTCGGCTAGGGCGGTTAGTTCCGCCGTGTTGTTGGTATGCCTTCGCGCGCCGAGGTAGGCTGGGTGCGCCGCCGAAGTGACAACTGGCCCGTAGCCCTCGCTCGCCAGCGACGCGCCCCTATCGCCGATTGCGTCGCCCCCGATGAGTACTGTATAGGCCCACCCTGCTTTCCCTAGGTCTTCCGACCCGTCTGTGTATGCCACCCAGTCGGGCGGGCGTCGTTGCGCCTGCTCTGCCAGTTGCTGCTGTGGGCGAAGAACGACCCCTGGTGCCTCGACCATTAGTCTCAGCTTGACCCGGCATGCCCCCCCTTCACCCTGAGGCGCTACACAGAGGAGTGCGACTGTGCTCACCGCGCAGCCGTTTGCCGCCACCCCTCGGACAGATTCGAGCGTCTCGGGGAGCTCGCACCGAGGACCGAGCCTGACTGTTCTTCACCTTCCTAACATAACATAACATTGTGTGTGTGTGAGCCTGTTTTAGCCGCCTCGTTAGCTCTCCAAGGGTCTCTAATCTGGAAATCGGAGACCTAAATATCAGACACCCGCGGCAGCGTCTATCCCGCCGCTTCCAATCCTTCAGGTTCACACCCGCGCGTCGCCCCCGCGCGGCCCTGTACAGACACGAGCAGGCGACGAAGGCGATGTAGTACGGGCCGACACCCGCTCCCGCCACCCGTCTCGCAGCTCTACCTCGCTTGGCGCCGCCGAGTAGCTGTTCGCCGAGGGTGGGGAGGATGCTAGGTTGGGCGTGTGCCAGCGAGACTGGGTGCCCTCCCACTCCCGTGCCACACGCCAACCTCTCCTGCCCCAGTTAGTACTCGCCCTTGTAGGCGATGCCGGACGTGCGTGCCCCAGTGCTTCGGGGTCTCGGAGTACCCGCCGTCTCTTACCGCGACGCCTTTTGGCCCGAGACCCTGGCACCAGTAGACCCGCTTCTCGGCTTCCGCTCCCTCGACGAGTACTCCAACCATAGCCAGCACCCGACCGTACACCTCGGGGTGGGAGCACACGAGCGGGTTGAGTGTCTGCTGGCCGCCGCGCTCTCGAAGGCTACGAGCCTTGCGAGGCAGGCGGCGGCGCAGGGTAAGTGTTTATGTACTGCATCTTTACTAGTGCACTTTAGCGCGAATTTGTGCGGGACGCGGTGCGAACGCGGCCATGCATGTACACAGCGAGAAGGGAGGCGGCAGAGAATGCAGAGAGGAGGGAGATAGTGGACCGACGGACGTACGGGCACATGTGTCAGAGCGCGCACGAGTGGGTGTGCGAGCAATATCGAAAGATGGTGAGGCCCGGCGTGTGGCAAAAAAAAAACGGGCGTTGAGCTCTCCGGCCCTGGATGTGAGGTTACCGACTGCACTCCAAGTGCTCCAAGTGCCGTCTGTTTATCTTGGCATCCTCTCGAGGTTCAAAATCCTGCTCGAGCAGGTGGGGACCCGCCTGTCCTCCTCCCCTATCCCTCGTTTGGCTTGCCTGTTTTCTTTCTTTTCTTTCTTTGAATTCTCCCGCCCGCGATAAAAACGGTATGGTGGGTGGAGGGCTCTAACCGTCCTCCCATCCCTCCCTTTGTCTGTTTTCCTTCGTTTTGCGGCGGCGGCTCGCCGCCGCGTTTCTGAACAATATGACCGGTCCGGGTTCGTCCCGGCGTGCCGCCAGTGCCGCCTCTTCGCCGAAATTTTCCTCAACCTGTTTGTCGAAGCCTCCAGTCGCAAGAAGAAGACAGTCGCGGCGCCCCCCCCCTCCGCCCTCTCGGCGTTCGCGGCTCTCGCCCTGCTGCAGAGCATCCGTGCCCATATCTGGCAGCTGTTCGCCGAGCGCCTCTTCAAAGCATGCGAGAATCTCGTCGCTCTGAAAGGCAGTCTCGAGCACGTCGTCAGCAGCGCGGATGCTCGCCAGCACGGCCCGCCGTCGGTCGCGGTCTCGTCTTAGTTCTGGCAGCGTCGGCGCCGACTTCCTCCCACGCTGGCCGCGCATCATGCTGCGCTTCGCGAGCAATCGCGTAACGGGAGGCTGCCCGGCTTTTTGTGGCTTTTCCCGCCTCCCTAATCCGCTCTTCACCAATCCTCGCTACCCAACGCGGCCAAAGGATATCCAAAGAAAGAAAGAAAGAAAACAGACAACCGAAGGGAGGGATGAGAGAACGGCACGCCGCCACCACACAGGGATTTTAAGGAGAGGATATCCAAGTCGAGAACCTCGAGATCCTTCGTCTTTTTTTCTTTTTTTTGTGCAATACACATGAGACCGAGACTCCTCCTCATCGCGGCCGCCGTCGCGCCCGCTGCTTCCCTATCGCTGCACACTGCCGCCTTCCTTCTTCCGCGAGCAGCGGTCGCCTCGCCTTCGCTGCGGACGGTCTCGCTGCGTCCTGCTGCAACGCGAACAGCGCGTGCGCGGCCGCCTAGCGCAACTGCCGAGCCGCTCGCGGCTGCCGCTGCCTTGAGCGCTGCTGAGAGCGCGAGTGTGCTGGTGGGGGCCGACATGTTTGGAAAGACCTTCCTCGCGGGCATCTCCATCGCCGCCGCCACCCTCGTCACCACCATCTTTGTCGGTCTCTGACCCCGTGCGCGGGAGGCGCGGCCTGTGTAGCGGCCCCGACCTTCTCGGAAGCTCCGTAGGGCTGCTCGTGCGCGGAAAGTACGACGAGCTGGAGGCGAGCTACTTTGAGGCGCAGGACAAGGCGCCACCACCGCCCGCACACTCGCTCCCCTCTCTCCTCTCTCTTGCGTGCCCACCTCTCTCGCGTCGCCTCTCCCTCACCCACCCGCAATCTCCGCCGCCCTTACCGCCCCGGCACCTCCCCGCCCGCCCTCTCGCCGCGGCAAGGCGATCGACGACCTCGAGATGAGCACCGCCGTCGACGCCGAGGTCTCCGACTTCTTTGGCTCGAACCTCAACCCCGAATCGGCGCCTCCCGCCGAGACTGCGCGCGAGAGATTTTCAACCAAGGAGAGAGTGGCGACGAGACGCGAGATTGCCCGAGAGATTGGAGGCGCGCTCAGGGCGGGGGGTCGGCGCCGACCGCCTGCGCCGCTGCGGACGCCCGGCTCTTCCTACCAGCCTTCTCCAACAACCCCGATATCTGTCCTAGGCGCCCCCTGGCGGCGGATCTGCGGGTGGACCTGCAGAGCGGAGCGACGCGCGGAGTGCCCCCGCCGAGAAGCTCCCGTGACGCGGCACGGGGCGGGCGCCGTCCCCGCGCCTCTCTCTCGCGCGCTTGCCCACGGGCAGACCCGGTGGCGCGTTGTGTCGTCCCTCCGCGCGGGTGTGCGTGTGTGGCGTGTGCTGTGCCTGCTGGTGTGCTGCCTCTCTCAGTCGGCGCGGCGGCTTTGGCCGGTGCGCGCTGTGACTGTCCCGCCCCCTTGTGCTACTGCTACTAACTCTCCATGAGAAACAAAGGCGAAAAAAAATGGTTGCCAATGGCGTACTCTAGTAGACTTTCTCTAGCATGGAGAACATGCACCACCAACCCGCAGCCCCGCGGCCCTCGAGGCCCCCGTTTACCCCCCGCGCCCCCGGCCGCCCGGGCCCGCCCGTCGTCGGCCCGTCCGCCGCCACCGGACCGACGACAGACATACCACCGCTTGAGCGAAAAGGCGGGAGAGAGGTTGGCGGCAGGCGGCCAGCAGCCCGCAGGGTCGGGTGCCCACGCCACAATCTAATCTCGCACCGCCTCGGCGGTCAGAGAGGATGGCTCTCGGGGTGGTCTTGCCACGATAGCTCGCCAGAGACGTGTTGCGCGCACATCTGCCCATCCTCCGTCACAACAGTCGACCAGCCGCGCCCAAGCATCGAGGGCTCCGACCGCTGCAAGCCTGCGAGAGGGCACGCCGCTCAGGCAGGGCGGGAGTGTGCGGCGACGCGCGTGCCCCGCGATTGTGGGCGGTGTGCGGCGACGCGCGTGCCCCGCGATTGTGGGCGGTGGCGGAGGTGGGGTGGAGTGGAGGTGAAGGCGGAGGTGGTCAATCGCTCACCGAGCGCCGTCATCGCGCCGAGCAGCTCGGGACTGCAGAAGGAGGCGCGCGCGCGCGTCGCAGACGGCGGGCTGCTTGGCTGCGGCGTAGGACGTGGCTGCGACCAGCTCTGCAGCGGCACTTTCAGCCACGGCTGCCGGGTTGCACTCGCGGCAAACGGCGTCGGCGGCGGCGCGGCTGGGTGCCCACTTCGGCTGGGCGCCCACTGCGGCTCTGCGGTCCACGCAACCTCCGTCATCTCGGCGTCATTCGGATCAGAGGCCGTCGAGGAGGCGCACAGCATTTCGCCGAATGGGCTCTTTGCGAAGCTCACGGCGAAGTCCCGATGAAGTCCAGCGACCTTTTTTTCTTCGAGAACAGGAGGCAGCCCCTCTGGCTCGCCCGGGCGGCTGTGGGACGGAGGCCCGCCGAGCGAATGCGAGCCGCATCCGCGGCCATGTCTCGCGCAGCGAGCGGCGCGAATCATCAATTCTTCTACCCCCACGACAACGCGAATGTGATGACAGGACCATGGGGGGTCCTTGCTCCTTCAGCCACCAAAGCGAGATCACCCGAGAGCAGCTGAGCCTGCCTCTGGCCTCGCCTCCCTCTCCTTCAGGCATTCGTGGCATCCTATGCGCTATGGGTCGTCCAGAGTATCGACCTCTGGCTTGTCAGCCGCCCCACCGTGCACCGAGGGCACCACGAAGTATAGCGATCGCCCGATAGCGGACCGCACAGACGGGCACATTTTGGCTCATGCGCGTGCTCTCCCTTTCAATGAAACACAGCTGGACTTCATCGGGAAAAGCGCAAAAATCGATCTCTCGTGCGGCTCACCCCCGTCCCCAGACCCCAGACACACAAGCGACTGCAGGGGTGTGTTCTCTCCAACTCAGCGCCAGCTTCCAGCGCCGCCGGCCCGCCTTCTCGCTTCTGTCAGCGCCGGGGCGATTGTCTGAGAGTCAAGAGGATGCGGGCCACGCCTCAACCTGCTTGGGCAGCAGCTGCCTCGTCAGGTCCTCTCCGTGGCCTAGGCAGCCGGTCTCGCCCTTGCCCCAGGCAAAGACAGCCCCATCGGCGGTGAGGGAGAGGCTGTGGCCCTCCCCAGCCGACACAGCGATGACGCGCCGCCCAGCAAAGGCCTCGACCTTCTTCGGCAGCAACTGGCCCTGCTGGTCGCCGTGGCCCAACAGGCCATAGCTTCCCTCGCCCCAGCTCCAGAGGGCGCCCTTGGCAGTGAGGGCGAGGCTGTGTTCGCCTCCAGCCGAGACTGCGATGACGCGCTGGCCAGTGAAGGCCTCGATCTTCTTCGGCAGCAGCTGGCGCTGCGTGTCGCCGTGGCCCAGCTTGCCACCGGCCCCACCGCCCCAGCTCCAGACGCTGCCGTTGGCGGTGAGGGTGAGGCTATGGAAATATCCAGCCGACACAGCGACGACGCGCTGCTCAGCAAAGGCCTCGACCTTCTTTGGCAGCAACTGCTGGTGCTGCTCGTCGCCGTGGCATCCACGGCCCCAGCTCCAGACAGAGCCGTCGGCAATGAGGGCCAAGCTGTGCATGCCTCCAGCCGACACGGCGATGACGCGCTGGCCCGCCAAGGCCTCGACCATCTTGGGCAGCAGCTGGCGCTGCTCGTCGCCGTGGCCCAATCGGCCGTCGTCTCCAGGGCCCCAGCTCCAGACGGAGCCGTCGGTGGTGAGGGCAAGGCTGTGCGCAAATCCAGCCGACACAGCGGCGACGCGCCGCCCAGCCAACGCCTCGACCTTCTTAGGCCGCAGCTGGAACTGCTCGTCGCCGTGGCCCAGCTGGCCAGCGTAGCCACCGCCCCAGCTCCAGACACAACCGTCAGCGGCGAGGGCGAGGCTATGCCGCGCTGCAGCCGACACGCTCACGGCGCGCTCGCCGCCCAGCGCCGACGGGGGGAGGGTCGGCGTGTTAAGCCGCGTCACGCCCTCGCCGTGCCCGAGCAGGCCTGGCATGTAGGACAGCGCACAGCCGCACGACGAGAGCCGCCCCTCGCCATCGATGAAGAGGCTGTGCCGTTCGCCTGCCGCCGCCCTCTCCGGCGGGTTGGCCTCGCACAGCAGCGCCGAATAGCACAGCCACCGCACGGCGCAGCCCTCGCCCTCTGGCAGCGCCGGCAGCTCGAAGCCGCGCTCTTGCGCCCACAAGCGGATGCCCTCTACCGCTAGCGAGGCGTGGAAGAGCAGCGAGACGGCCGCGACGCGAGCGATGTCGAGGGGGCTGTGGCAGTGTGAGAGGGCGCGCTCGAGGAGCTCCCTGGGGAGGTCGAGGAGGCGGGCGGGCGGCGGCGCGTCCGGCGAGGGAGCGGCGGCGGCGGTGGAGGAGCAACTCGGGGATGACATCGCGAAAAGAATTTTAGATGTGCTAGTGACGGATTTTGAAAGTTGCAGCGAGAATCGGCGAGAGACTGCGAAGAGAGATAGGAAGAGGCGGACGCCCAAGGGTGGGCGACGGCTAGCGCATCACACCCCTCTCCTTAAAATCCCTGTGTGGTGGCGGCGTGCCGTCCTCCCATCCCTCCCTTGCGTTAAGCGTTTTCTTTTCTTTTTTTACGGATTTTGGCCCATCGAGTGCTCTCCCTCTTGCTCGCCCTCCCGTCGGCGGTCGGATTGGTTGTGCCGGAGCTGCTGAGTCGGCTCGGCCGGCACGAGGGGTGGCGGCAGGCTGCCCCCAAGGCCCCCCGGGCCGCTGCGGGTTTGGGAGTTATGCTTAGGCACAGCTTCGGCGATGGCAGCCCCTCTCTGGGGTGTTGCATAGGCGGGGAGTCTCCCCCGCTGGTCTCCTCCTTCCCATTTTTTCTTTTTCTTTTGAGAGCAGGACGCCGGGTTTGTCTTGTATGTGCATGTCGGGCCTGGGTGTGTGTGAGGGGCAGAGGGGCGGGGGCGTGCGGGGCAGAGGCCCAACGTCGGGCGGCTTGTCGGGGTCCGGAGCATTCGAGGGGGGAACGAGGAGGGGAGAATGGGCGGTCGGCGTCGGAGTAGCAGGCCGCAGGGCGTACGGGGTAGCCGTCACTTTCCTGCCTCACAAGGGCGGGGCTGTCCCGGAAAGTGAGAGACGCCGGGCAGCGTGGCGCACTACTGAACCCTCCCATACGTGTTTGGGCTTCCTCCTTTGCTGTCCCATCTCCTCATCTCTTTCCCGCCTGGGCGGGGCGGTGGGCGGGCGCGCGGTGCGGCGTGGCGTGTGCGTGTGTGCGACTGCAACGACGGACCGCTCGCAGAGGACCATTGGGTTTGTACAATTAACAACGAAGGCGCTCTCAAAAAAAATAAAAATACGCCTGATCCGGCAACCAGGGCCACGAGTACGAGGACCCACCGCAGCGCCGCTGAGCCACCACCGCACCACCTCTCTCTCATGAGCCTCGAGAGCAGGCGCGCAAAATCGGCCCGCGGTCGTCGCTTCCTCGCGCAGCGCGAGCCCAAGCTCGTCGAAAACCCGCGCACCGCGCTGCTCGCCCGCGGCCAAAAGTCGTCCGCTGTCGTCAATGAGTTGCTGACGGACCTCTTCTGCCTGAAGAAGCCGCACGCAAAGCACTTCCGCCGGCACAACGCCGTCCACCCGTGGGAGGACGCCACGCCGCTCGAGTTCCTCTGCCAGAAGAATGACGCGTCGCTCTTCGGATTCGGCACGCACTCGAAAAAGAGGCGCGGCCGTCCCAGCCCGGCGCTCGAGGGGAGAGGAGGGGAGGGGAGGGTAGAGAGAGGAGGGGAGGAGGAGGGAGAGGAGCTTCGTCCGGTCGGTGGCAGCGGCGCGGGCGGGACAACGAGAGGTGGTGATGAGAGAGGCAGCCGGCGGCCTGCAGAGTGGAGCAGAGGAAGGGCGCGAGGAATGGATCCGCCGCCCGGTCTCAGCCTCCGCTGGCGTCGGCGTCCCTGCCCGCCATCAGGCCGCACAACCTCGTCCTCGGCCGCTGCTTCGACCACCGCATCCTCGACATGTACGAGTTTGGCGTCGAGGCGCCGCGACACTTCCAAGAGACGCTTCCGGGACACTTCCGAGACACACCTCGTCGCCCGTCTGCGCCCACGGCATATTCTCCCCACATCTCGCCATATCTCCCCTGCCTCCCGGTATCTCCCCAGATCTCGCCTGCCCCAGGCGAGCGCGGCGATGGCGGGCTTTGCGAGGGGCGCCGGCGGCGGCGCGTCTGGCGAGGCGAAGCCGCTGCTGCAGTTCAACGGAGACGGGTGGGAGAATGTGGTCGAGCTCAAGGAGCTGCGCGCCTTCCTGCTCGACTGGTTCGGGGGCAAGCCAGCCGAGGCGATCGCCCCGCTGGCGCTCGAGCGTGTGATCGCCTTCTCCGCCTCGCCCGAGGGTTGGTGCGCTCCGCCACCTCCCCATGTCCACCACTCCCCATGTCCGCCACCTCCCCATGTCCGCCACCTCCGCATGACCGTGGCTCTGGGCCCTACTGACACTGGGGGGGGGGAGGGGGCGTGACACGCTAGGGGGGAATCGGGTTCGACCCCACTGTGGGTAGGGGAGATCAGGGTTCGACCCCACTGTGGGTAGGGGATCCCCCACCCCCAGGGAGGGGCGAACCCACACCGGACGCGCGGCCAGGGAGCATATGCTTCCCATACTTCTTGGGACCCGTAGCATATGCCTCCGTACGTCTCCCCAGACCTCCGCGCCTCGCCAGAGGGGGCGGTGCGCTCCGTCTGCACCTCACACTACAGTCCCTCACCACAGTTCCTCTCACTGCACTTCGTCTGACCCTCACCCTTACCGCAGGGGCGCCGCCGACGGAGGGAGCGGTGGCTCGCGCCGTCTCGTGCGGCTGCGGCAGTATTCCGTCAAGCTGCAGAAGAGCGCCGAGGCGACGGCGCCGCACGTGGCGCTGCGCGAGATGGGCCCGCGGGTCGACTTGGTCGTGCGGCGCGTGCAGCGGCCCGCCCCAGACCTACTGCGCGAGGCGATGCGGCAGCCGGCGGCGAGCAGCGCGGCGCCAAAGAAGGCGCGCAACGTGTCGCACTCCAAGCTCGGCGGGCGCGAGGGGCGGCTGCACTTGCCCAAGCAAGACCTGTCCCAGATGCCGACGGCGCGCATGAAGGGACTCGGCAAGCGCGGCGTCGCGCCCAAGCAGGGGGGCGGCGGCGGGGGCGGCGGAGGCGGCGGCAAGCGGCATAAGGCGGCGGCTGGCGGCGGCGGCGAGTAAGAGGGAGGGCGAGCGGGTGGCTGCGTAGCGCCGATGGTCCGATGTGGTGGCGCCGGTGCCAAGGCGTCCCTCGCGAGCGTGCCGAGGAGAGCTTTCCTGGAGCTTTCCTGGAGCTTCGCCGCTGGAGGCGGCGCGAGTGTGAGCAGCGAGGCGCGCGGCGCGTAGAGCCATGGTGAGTGTCGCCTCGCAGTGTGCCGAGCTGCAAGCCGCACCCGCCCGCCCCGTGACGGCCCGCGGTGATTCTGAGAGTCGTGCCTCGTGCGCGCCGCGCGCGCGAAAACCCCGACGGGAGGGCCCAGACCTACCCTACCTACCCCGTCATGAGTGCCGCCCCAAGGACTCCCGTCATGAGTGCCGCGCGGATGTCTTTTTTACTTTATAATTGCGCGTGTTGGTCGCACTGGGCGGCGCGGATACGGCTATTTAGTTCCTCCTTTTGTATTAGCCGTCGCGGACGACCGTGGGGAAAAATCGAATAACGCTTAATGTGGTTCTTGACTGGCGAGGTACTTCCAGCCTGCCGCTGTGGGAACAGCTGACCTGCAGCCTCGCTCGCCGAGGCCCAGCACGCCTCTCGGCCGCAGACACAAAAACCCCGTCCTCCCCGTCGGGTGCGACGGGCTGCGTGGGCGGCTTGAGCCTCGAGCCGCTCGAGCCGCTTGCGAAGCACTTGATACAGGTTACAGCACCCCTTTGGGGTCACCCCTCAGCCCCCCCCCCCCCCCTTTCCTTTTCCTTGTTCTTTCCTGTTCTTGTTTTAAAACTCCGCTTCTCTTCTTCTCTGTTCTTTTTTGCACATCGGGCCGGCCGATACACACATGAGTTTCATATTCATGTAAAAACTATCTCGACTGTTGCCATCCCAACGAACTGTCACTCCCCTGTCTCCCGGTGAAGACTCGTGAACGGTGAGCGGATGTGAGGTCTCTGTCTAGCGTTCTGCCTCCGCGACGCTTTCGCGCGCGCGCGCCGCGACCCGCGCGTTAGCTCGTTCTTGCGCCACTCGACGCTCTGCGCCCACTCCTGGCCGGCGCACCAGTCTGGCGCGGCGCCGCTCGTCGAGACTGACCCTTCGGGCTCACACCACGGCTGGCCATCGCGTGAACAGGACGTGCCCTTCCGTTTTGGGGCAGCTCATACCACCCCCTTGGGGCACCAGGTCGATATCCGGCTCAAACATACGACCCCGCGGAACGCATAAGCCCCCCGTGCGCTACCTCCGATTCAGCCATTTCCGCCATTTTCGCCTGGGGGGCTTATGCGTTTCTCGCCAATGATCAGATGTCGAGCCAAAGCTGTCGACGCCGAGTTCGGCACCCGATTCGCCCCAAAACTGAAGGAGGGAGCGCGGTTCGGAGGTGGCAAGGCACGGCGAGTGCAAACGTGCGGCTATTGGGCCTGGCGCACAACCACTGTGCAACTCACTCAGGGTCCTTCCCCGTCCACCCCGTAGATGGGTAAAAAAGAACAGGTCGTCCGTTTATTTTTGCATTTTGTGCGACCCGAGATGTGGAGAGACTCTCAGAGGACAGACGGTCACCACAGAGCGGTGGGAGAGCGCTCATGCAACTCAAACATAGCAGCCGTTAGCCCTACGTCTTGTTTCTAGAGACAAGCCACTCGCACCGAAAGCACACCGCACGCACATCACACACGGACCGACTTGCTTGAGCTCGATTCCTGCGTGAACTAATCACGTGGCGGTGGGTGATGGTGGAGGCGGCGACGACTTCATTTTGCTCGTCCGCTTCGACGCTTCGTCCACCCAATCTGACCTGAGCGCGACACCCCAGCCAGCGCCAGTCGGCACCTTCATCTTGCCGTCCTTGATCTTGAGCACACCCTCGGTGAAGAAGCGTTTGCCATCCGGTGGCTGCCGTGTGTTCACGGCATCGGCCTCCATGAACTGGAAGGCGTTCGGCACGGCCGCCGCTATGTGGAGTGTGAAGACAGCCACGAAGCTCGGGTTTGGGGAGTGCGGCATGAATCTGGCCCCGGCCTCCATGCTCATCCGAGCCACAGCGAGGCTGCGCGAGACCCCGCCGATGTAGTGTACGTCAGGCTGCCACACATCCATGGCGTGGACGTTCCTCTGCCACACATCCATGCGGTACTCCTGCTCGCCGAGCGCGATCGGCATGCCCGGCATCGCCGCCCCCAGGGCCGCAGCCTTGTCGTATTCCCAGAATGGGTAGGGCTCCTCGAAGAAGGTGAAGTTGTTGTCGATGAGGAGCTGGGCGATCGGCTTGGCTCGCTCGATCGTGTCGTATCCGCCGTTGGCGTCGGCCAGAAGCGTCACCTCCGGACCTAGCAGCTGCCGCGCGAGCGGTATGAGGGTCTCGGTTCGGTTTGGCGTGATGTCCACATCCCCGCCCATGCGCTGTGCGATTTGGAATTTGAAGGCCTGCACGCCGTACTTGTCGTGATTGTGCACGGCGTTTGCCAAAAGAAGTCCCATGTCGGTCTCTCGGTTGCCATTGGAGCCGTAAACCGGCATGTGGCTCTTGCACTCACCGCCCATCACCTCCGCGACGAGGGTGCAGACGGAGACGTTGAGGTTGCGCGCGACAAGGTCCCACAGCGCTGTGTCGACGCCGGCCAAGACCTGCGCTAGCACATCGCCCGTGTGCTTGTAGTTCTGTCGCCAAGCTGTGTCGGTAACGGCGTCGATGTCTGCAGGCGTCTCGACCGTCTTGCCGAGGACATGCGGACCCACCCAAGTGTGCACTCGTTTGGCAACGACACCGGACAGTTGTGACCTGCTGCTGTGGTAGCAAGCCTGGCCCCAACCCTCCAGATGTCCTGCCTTGACCCGAACATGCACGTATCCGTCCTTCTCGTAGGTGTTGAGCTCCGTGACTACCATGCCATCTGACGGTGGCGCCTCCCAGTCTACGTCGCTGTCCCACCATTCTTCACCGTAGCTCCACCAGCCGGAGGGCAACGCGGGCGATGGAGGAGGCGAGGGAGACGGCGACGCGGGCGATGGAGGAGGTGAGGGAAGTCGCGGCTGCGACGGCGGCGGCTGCGACAGCGGCCACGGCCGCGCTGTGGCGTCATGCCCGCCGTTGGAGTCGGTAGCTCTCGGGAGCGACCTGCCAACGCCGAATCCGATGCCCACGAGCGCGCATGCGCCGAGAGTCGCGATGAGCATGCGAAGCCAAGGCAAACCGTTGCCCGCTGGCTGCTTCGTAGCCTCTACTGCACGGCCTTGCTGACTGACAACGGCCACAGGGTCTATGTCAGCGAGCTGCATCGCCACGCCGCCGCTGCCGTCCAGGCGTCGGCCGTCAGCTCCTCGATGGTCTGAACAGCCACACCGACCCAGCGCCTTCAGAGCGGTGTTTCGGCACCGAGATCGTTTCACTAGCTCTCTTTTTGCTTGCGAACGCCAGTGAGCCAATGCTCCTGCCATCGTTCACGAATATCAGACAAGAGAGATAGAATATCAGACAAGAGAGATAGAAGATAGACCAGAGAGATAGAAGATAGACCAGAGAGAGGGCAAAGAGGCCAAGGAAAAGGGGCCGAGGAAAAAGGAAAAGGGAAAAAGAAAAGTAAAACAGGCACATCTCTCTCTAAACAACACGTTTTGCATTAGATACGCTGGGGGGGGGGTCAAAAATCGTGCCGCCGTTCACGCTTCACAGGGTTTGCCAGTGCTTCCTCTCGCCCCGCCCGTCGCCCGGCGCGACGCAGCGCGAGATGGGAGCTGCCTCCGCGCGCGCCTCTCGCCTCGCCCCACAACCACCACTGCAGCGTCGAGCCCGTGCGTGAGCGCAAAAGAGGCTGAGAGGTGAGAGCGCATCACAGACCTCCTTTGTTGTCTACCAATGTAGGTGGGGGTTGGACTTGGAGGATTGCCGGGGGATCCGGTCCGACTACTGGTGCTATGACAAGGTGTGAGATAGACTCAGCACACACTCTCTCTCCCTGGGCAACACTTTTGCCACATAGATTCAACGTACCTCAGCCACTCTTCTCTGCCGCAGTCGCTTGGCAACCTGCTTGTGTCGGGCCTCGTCACCGTGGTGGACGACACGGTGATTGACGAATGCATGGGCGACGGAGACAACACCGACACCACCAGCGTCACGGCCTGCGGCAGATCGCAAAGCTCGGGAGCGCCCCAGACAGCTACAAGACAGCGCTCGAGCACATGGCTCAGCAACTGGATGAAGTGGGCGGCCGTCCACACAGAGAATGAAGCGCGGAAGCAGCCGGGGGACAGCGAGTTGCTCCTCACGAACTTCGACTTTGTGCTGGGCAAGAAGGACAAAGATGGGTACTGCCAGTCGTCGACCACCTGGGTTTGATGCCCAAACTAGAAACTGACTGTCTGCTGAGCTTGCCAGCCTGGGGGTCTGCCTTATTGGGCTTGCTCTTCTTGGGGGTCTGCTCGGCGGATGGCGACGACGAACACAACCAAGCAAGGCGCGCAGATGTAACTTGCAGATCGATGTGCCCCGACCACCCCTGCATGTGCGCGGGCCTCTGGTGCCATACACGCCCACGCATGGGGCGCGTATGTTACCCTAGATAGGCGCCCACACGTGTAGCCGCGTATGTGAACATCCCTCTGTGCACGTGCCAGCGCGAGTCGCCTTCGCCGACGGGCCGTTTCACGCGCTCACGCCCGCCTATGTTGGCCAAGATAGGCGGCTGCACGTGTGGGCGCGAGTACCGCTATACGCGTCTGCACGTGTGGCCGCGTATCTTGGCTAAGATACGCGCCGGCACAGAATGACACGTATCAGCCCCGCGCCGAGCTCGATGCGCGGCAGCGGGTGAGGGCGGCTATTCTCCCCCGAGGCAGGCGAGGATACGCAGTCCCTCGTGTCGCGCGTGTAAGTCCCGGTTGCCGTGCGCGCCAGCGCGTGTGGCCGCGTACCTTAGCTAAGATACGCGCGCACGGGCGTGGGTGGGTAAAAACGGGTCACTTTGCGGGGTTCGCCGCAAAGGAGGAGAAGGGGCATTCCACTCGCGCCGAAGGGAGTGTTGAGCCGATTCTGTGATTGCGGCTGCGTGGTTGGTCGGCGGCCGTCGCGTTCGGTCGTCCCGTGCCGGCCTCGGCGTCGCGGCCCTCGCACACCCTGGGTTCGTCCGAATTCGAATCGCCGTTGTGGAGTACGGGCGCGGCAAAGTCGGCGCCTCGACAGCGCCTCGACGGCGGCCGCAAAAGCCGTCTCCTGCACGTCGCCGCGCGGCCTCGAGGCGCCGCGAGCGTGCGCTGAGGTCAGCACGACTCGCTCCGGCCCGAGACGGCCGACGCGCGCGCTCTCGCTCCCACCTCTCCATCCCGACGCTCCGCGCTCGCTGTGTCGCCCGCGATCGCGGCATAACCACCGAGCCGCAGCGCGGCGCTCGGCCCGCGCCGCCGTCTCACGAGCTCGTCTCTCGCCCGCCGCGCAGGCGAAAACCAACTCCGTCCTCAAGGGCAAGCTCGAACGACTCCCGTCACTGTACCCCTCGTGCCACGCTGCAGCCGCCGCTCTCGTCTCTCCTCTGTCGCTTCGCCGCGGTCGCGGCCGCACGGAGGTGCCACGGGCCGTGCGAGTGATACTCCGCTGCGTGCTGTCCGGCTCCATATACTGCGACTGGTGCGCCGCGGATGTTTGAGAGTGCGGTTTAAAAAGGTCCTGCCCCGCGCCTCCGCGGCACAGAGGCACTGGAGGCAAACTGCGGGCGAATAAATATTTTTGAACGGACAAACGCGAGCTCGCGGGGTCCACACGAAAGCACCGCTTGGCGGTGTCAGAACCGCCCTCTTGGACCCTGGTGGGCCGAATCTGCGCCCTCTGGGCCCCGGCGGCGGTCCCGGAGAGGGCCAGCACGCGGGCTCCGCCGACGATCTCGCAACGCGGGTCGCGCCGCGCGCCTCCCGAACGAAGCGTGTTGGTGCGCGATGGCGATCCTCGCCTGCGGGGAGCGGAGCACACGCGTCGGATGGCGAGGGCAGCACAAATATTGCACTCACGTCCCAGTATGGCAGCAGCCGGACGGGTTGGGTGGCGTGAGGACAGTGGACAGGGGGTGGTGAGGATGATTCCACAGATCTCGCTGAAAATGGCCGTGTCCTTCCCGGGGGAGGCAGGCGAGCGCACACCTCGCGTCCGAGCGCGAGTCGACGAGTGGTCGCCGAGAGATCGCCGAACCACGTTTCGAGTGCGCGCGCCGCGCACACAGCACAGCTGCGGGTTGTAACTCGACTGCCGATCGCGCGCGCGGGATTTGAATGGAGCTCGCTGGCGCCAGTGCACGGCAGCACCGCCTAGTATCTCGGCCGGAACGAACGAGCAGTCCCCAATCGACACGTTGAGGACGCTGGGCTGGATCTGTTGAACTGCCACAGCGGGCGGAGGCGCGGGTGCCAGAGGAGGGTGACGGCCGGCGGCGGCGTACGGCGGCGAGTCGGAGGCGAGGGGGTGGCCCTGCCGCGCGACACCGGCGCCCCGTCGGGACCCACGCTGGAGCAGCTTCGGCGTCTGGCGGGGCTGCTGCGGCGGGCGGGACTGCGGCGGCGTACTGGGGCGCGAAGCGGCAAGGTTGGGCGGCGGCGACGGCGCGGCCGGCGATCGGCTCGAGGCGGTCGATCTGCCCGGTGACTGGGTCTCCTCTCCGCTACCCGCGTCCGGGGCGAGCCCGCCCTGGGGGCCCGCGTGCGTGCCCGCTGTCGTCGCCATTTTCTGTCGATTGCGGCGGCGCCGTACGCCTCAACGAGCGGGTCGCCGAGCGCGCCGCGCGGCTCTGGGCGTGCCGCGTCGACCCTCTCGAGCGATCGGGCCGCCTCCGGGCGCGGCGCGTCGAACGGCGCGGCCGTCAGCGAGGAATCGGCTCAACACTCCTGGGCTGGGATTCGGCGCGGGTGGCAATGAAAGGAAGCGCTTAAGCCCGGCGTCGGGCCTGGGTCGGGCTTCTCCTCTTCTTTGGCCGGCCCGGCTCGCTCTCTCTCTCTCGCGCGCGCGTCGCCCTGAGATGGCGAACGTCGACACAGACAGCGCCGGTCACGAGGGGGCGATGGCGAATGTCGACACAGACAGCGCCGGACACGAGGCGCTGCTGGAGCAAACGCGGCCATTACGGCTTTTTCGATCGCAGACGCTGCCCAGCCCACGGCCTCTGGCTCCTCCTCTCATCCGCATCAAGTCGGAGCCTGTGCGCGGTGGCGACGGCACTGGACTCCTCTCGTACGCTCCTCGTGTGCGGGCGTCCTTTGTGCGCGACGGCGAGGCGGCGTCCAATCGGCGCCGGCTGAGCATCGTGATCGAGCGCAAGCAGCTGCGCGGAGGGGCGCGGGTGCGCTCCGAGATCTCTGTCGACTGCCGGGCGCTGCTGCGGGGTCTCGTGGCGCTCCTCCTCCTCTCCACGGCGCGCGCGTATGTGGTCTCCGCCGCGCCGCACCGCCCCTCCGCCGCCGCCGCCGCATCCGCCCCGGCCGTGCCCCGCTCTGCCCTCCGATCTGGCGGGTGGGTCCATGACAGCAGCAGAGCCGCCGGCGGCGGCGGCGGCGGCGGCGGCGGCGGTGGTGGTGGCGGTTGGGCCATCTCACCGCTCCTTTTCGTCCCTCCGGTCCGCGCACGGGCCAGGCTCGTCTCTGGCTGCGCCTCGGCTGCACCTCGGCTCATCTCGGCTGCATCTCGGCTCATCTCGGCTGCACCGTGGCTCATCTCGGCTGCACCTTGGCTCATCTCGGCTAACATCTCGGCTCATCTCGGCTGCATCTCGGCTGCACCTCGGCTCATCTCGGCTGCACCTCGGCTCATCGGCTGCACCTCGGCTCATCTCGGCTATATCTCGGCTCCGTCTCGGCTCGATTCGGCTCATCTCGGCTGCACCGCGGGCCAGGTTCGTCGCCGGCTGCCTCGCCGCCGCCGACGGCGCCGCCACAGCAACAGGCCTTCAGCGCTGGCTCCGGACGGCGTTCGCTGAGTCGGTCTGCGCCGTCGCTTTCCCCGGCGCGTTTGGCGCCGTGCGGGCGAGGCGGCCAGAATTCTTAAAACACAAGCCTCTCTCCCAGCACACTGGCACGACAAGGGCGCGGACTGGCGCGGACTAGCACACACACCGGCACACCACCGGAGTCGCCTAAGCTAGAAGCGGGACACGCAGTCTTGCCTTCCAGCCAGCGCTCTCTAGGACACGGGTTCGGCGGCACTCGCCGCCGCGTTCCGCTGTATTCGCCGCTCTCTCGCAGCCCCTCGTACTCACGCGCTGCTCTGAGTGCACTGCACGATCTCCCCAGATCTCCCCAGATCTCTCCAGATCGCGTGTACTCACGCGGTGCTCTGAGAGCACTGCACGATCTCCCCAGATCTCCCCAGATCTCCCCAGATCTCTCCAGATCGCGTGTACTCACGCGGTGCTCTGAGAGCACTGCACAAGTACCGTCTTCCCGCCCGAGATTCGGCCTACCACACCACCCAGGGGACTGAACCCACACTGGATTCGACGACTCTGGAGGTATGGTACGCGTAGGCGTGGCACGGTCAGCTGTCGGCCGCCGGGAGCGAGGAGCTCGAGGAGGCGGCGAGGCGGGTGGAAGCGGCGCTGGCTGCTTCCCTGCCGGCGGGCTCGTACCGCGTCGAGGCGCGAGATGTGGGGAGATATGGCTGAGATCTGGGGAGATATGGCTGCTTCCCTGCCGGCGGGCTCGTACCGCGTCGAGGCGCGACTCAAGCCGGCGGTGTCTCGGCTGTGTCTCGGCTGTGTCTCGGCTCTACCTCGCTGCACCTCGGCTGCACCTCGGCTGCACCTCGGCTGCATCTCGGCTGCACTTCGGCTGCATCTCGGCTGCACTTCGGCTGCATCTCGGCTGCACTTCGGCTGTAGGCGAGACTCAAGTCGGCGGCGTCGCTCTTCGAAAAGGTTCGAGAGACAGCCGAGAGACAGCCGAGAGACAGCCGAGAGACAGCCGAGAGACAGCCGAGAGACGTGAGCGGCGCCTCTTCACAGCGGCGGCTGTGAACAGGTCGCGTTGCGCGGCAAGCGAGCCGACGATTTGCTCGGACTCCGGGTGGTGCTCGACGGGCACCGCGAGTACGGCGCGGCGGGCGGGCTGTGAACGGCGTCTCTTCACAGCAGCGGCGGGGCGAGGTAGGTACCGCGAGTACGGCGAGGCGGCGGGCGGGCTGCCGCAGAGGGCTGGCGACCACTCGCGCTGCCTCGCGGTGCGGCAAGTGGCGGGCCGACTTTGGGGCGAGGTCGCCTTCTCGGACTACATCGCGTCTCCAAAGGCCAACGGGTACTGTTCCCTCCACTCCACCTACGCGCTGCCGTCGGGCACGCCGCTCGAGCTGCAGGCGCGAGATAGGGGGAGATAGGGGGAGACACTCTCACCGCCGCATGTCCAGCTGACGGTGTCTTCACCTCGCTATCCATCTATCTAGGTGCGCACCGGCGCGATGCACCGCCATGCAGAGTCAGGACCCGCGGCGCACTCGGCCTACAAGGCCGGCGCGGCGGCGGACGCGGCGGCGGGCGGCGGCGGGCTCGGCGGCGGAGGCTGGCTGGGAGGCGGCTTCTTGCCGCGTGGCGCGGCGCCACTGGCTCGGCTTCCTGCGCTGTTTGGGGAGGCGGCCGCGGAGAGCGGCGCCAGCGCGGCGCCGCCGTGAGAGAGTCGTGGACCGCGTGACGCGGCTGGCGTGCCTTGCGGTATCGGACTATCGTTTCCATGGGTACACATGGTACACTGTACTAATTTCTCATACAGCACATGACCTCTGTCTTCGGTCGCCAGTGAGCAGCGAGTGTCCGCAGTCTGCCACCACTTGGGATGACAGGAAGACGCACACACCTCCATCCACACCGCCCAGAGCACCGCGGACTTGGGCAAAGCTGTGACATTTGCGATAGGTAAGGTAAGGTAAGGTAAACTTCTCCACACACACGAGGTGGTGGGGCAAGGGGGGGCAACCCTCGCGTCTCCACGTCTAACGACAGGAGCCCCACGGCATTTAAAGTGCAAGGCCCGGTGCGCGTGGGTGAGCGGTGTGTGTGTGTGTGTGTGTGTGTGTGTGTGTGTGTGTGTGTGTGTGTGTGTGTGTGTGTGTGTGTGTGTGTATCCTCCACCTCGAGAACCTCGAGAGAGAGAGAACGGGTGCTCTGCGTGGGCGCTGTGCTCTCGAGGTTCTCGAGGTGGATATCCTTTGGCCGCGTTGGGTAGCGAGGATTGGTGTAACCCGAGCCACGGAGGCGTGTTTTCTGACGGCCGACCGTCAGTGCACGGAGTTGCCCCTTCTCCGACTGCCCCCCTCGGAGAGGTAAGCTAGGGGGCGAAATCCACGGCCACAACCCCCTAGAGGCAATGGAGCGCTGAGAGAAGGCACTCGGCTGCAAGGGTAGCAGAGCACACCACTCCTACGCCCATGCCCCCTCAAAGACGGCAGAAACAGTCACACGCAATTAGTACATGGCCCAGCCTGCCTCCAGCTCGCGCCATCGCCCACTCGAGCTTTGCAGCGCGCGGGCTCACACTCTACTATAGGCCCCCTCGACGCCCACTTCGAGTTCTACTCAGCTAAGGGCCGCACTTGACGCTGTAAGCAGCTTTCTAACACAGGAGAACAGAATATTTACCTAACAGAAGGTACCGCGCAACTCCAACACTGGGCAAAAGAATCGTCCGCAATCTACTTTACCACCGCCCCCGCGGGGTAGCGAGAATGGCTCCGACCAGCGGCCCCGGTGCAGCAACAGCAGCTCCGCGCGCGGCGCCTCGGTCGCTCAGCCCGAGTGGGTGTCCATTAGCCTTGGCTTACCTCTCCGTCGGCGTATCGGCGAACCGCGCGCGGCGCTCACACCGTCGATTGCAAAGATAGGTGGTGGTTCGCATCGGGGGCGGCGCGTCGCTCGTCTCTCATCGGTCACGCTGTGGGGCGCGATCTTGCGAGCGGGTGACCGGCGAGGAGCCGTGTGGCCGGCCTTGCGCGTTCCGCATTGCCGCGTCCGGCTGCCTTGCCTGGGCCGCTTGCAGCTCGTCTGCACTTGGGCCTGCTCGGGTCGAGCGGCGCCGCCGCTTCGGCGTGGGCAGGGGCCCCTCCGATGCGGCCTAAGGACGTAGAGGGACGACGTCACCACTCAGAGAGTGGGGTCTCTCGCCTGGGCGACTGGAGAAGGACTGAAGTGGCATGATACAGGGTCTGCGCGAGAACTATGTGTGGGCGCGTGGGCATAACCCTGGCTCGCTCAGCACCTCGATGAGGTCACATGGACCACCAAGAACTGGCACGGGCTGCAGATGCGGCAGCGCTTGTCTCTGTCGTTCTCCACACCGCCGTGGCGTGGCCGACGCGCGAGACGGTGAACGAGCTAGCGTGCGGGGATAGCGGCATTGTGCACGGAGCTAAGTGCATTGCCGTTTTCTTAGCGGAGTCGCTTAGGCGGCTCCGGTGGTGTGCCTGTGATAGTGCTAGCACGCGCCAGTATCTCGCACCTGTGTCGAGGCTCGCGAGCCTGTCTGCTGTGAGAGAGCGAGTTGTTCTGTTTAAATTCTTTACTTTGGCCCCTGCTCGCTGCGAAACCGCACCGCCAAGTGCTGCTCCAAGGGTGATGGCCGCCGACGCGCCACGCCGCCCCCCCCCGCCCCCCCCCCTTCAGATATCTAGTCAACACGCCCGTATCTCAAGACATGCGGTGGAGCCCTCCGCTCCCACACTCGGACGCTCCTCTTTCTAGACCCCCCCGCCCCCGCCCGCGCCTTTCAATGCACCGCCGCCTCATTCAGCGCCCTCACCGCCGCCTCCAGCCACGCGGCGACCTGCGGGCCCGAGGCGG